CATAGCAGTTCAGAGTAGTTTACTTTTGACTGTCTTAACTCGGGGGGTTAGTGTTGAACTCTTTCATGTAGATCCATTTTTGGGATTGGATAAAGATATGGATGACACATTGAGCAACGAAGAATTTCAAGCATATGCTAATGGCACCTTCACTGGCAATCTTAATTGATTGTGGTATGTTTTTACTGCTGCTAGTTTGGACGTTACATTAAATTGGCTACCTTTAATTTGCAACAATATATTTAAGATATTTATGCAATATTGTACGTAACTTTGCTTTATAAGATATAATTCACTGTGCAATGCCACTGCATCATGTTGGTTTGCTTCTTAAGAGTACAACCATTGATGTTGCCAACAGTGGCATCAATGGTTGGCTAGGCTGCCTTGGCCTTACAAAAAGCTCTATTGTGGCCCGATCATTGGCCTTAGCAAAATGGATTGTTTTTCCAATGGCATGCTTTAGAAATTGCTCTCTCTTATTAGAGTCAAGGCTTGAAATAGGTCTTTGGCAAAGCCAATGTGAGGCGGGCAATTAGCACTAAGTGTAGCTTCTACTAGTCAAATGATGAAATAGTTAGTAAAGCCACTTTTTTCTCTTTTTATCATGTTAGGAGGCTGCTCAAAAAGAAGGGAGGTTGGAAGTAGAATCCTAAGGAACTGGTGTGAGGTAGGTAGGTTGATGTGAGGCTTGGTTGTTGTTGATCATGTTGCCTAGATGATGGATATTGTATTGGGGCCATCTTTGCCCATGTGCCATGCAATCATGGCATCTACTTATCAATCATCCCTATTGGTGCTAATACGTGGTACTGCTTCAAGGCAATTCTTGAATTGTCAACTATAGAAAGCTATTGACTTCTAAAATAATCTATATTAGATAAACATATGCATATTTATTAAGATATTCTATAAAAACTTTATATTTCTAATAAAATTATTGATATATTTATATGATTTGATGAATATGTGAAAATAGGTGGTTGAGATAATAAGGACAAAGCTAAAAAAATAATTTTGGAGAATTTTTTGAATTTTCTTTAATTTTAGAGAAAAGATAGATTTCAAAAAGCTTGACATATTTATTCAAGTGCTTGAATCTTTAAAATTAAGACCATCTAAGAACATTGAATTTTTACACTTTATTTAAGTTAGTAACCACTTGTCAATTTATGTATCACATAAACTAGCCAACTGACATGAAAAATGTCTTTTGATGGCTTTGATATTTTTATAACATTTTTTATAATATAAATACAAATACACTCATCTAAAAGCAAAGGTTAGTAGGAACTTTTGAACTATGTTTAATAATTGACATTCTTTTCATGTATCTAGTGTAAATTCTCTATTTGTATTTTTTAAATTTAGTTTTTCAAATCTTATTATTTCCAAAGGCTGAAATTATTTGATCTAAAAATATTTGATGAAGGATCATTCATATAAATATTATGATATATCTATTATAATTTATCAATTAAAGATGAAATGGATAAAATTTAGGATATGATAGAGCCTTTTGATTCTTTAAGAATAATATGAGCAAATTTGCTAGCATATCAAGAAAAAGACATTATAGTCATTATGCTTACAAATGTGTGCAAGTTTGAATACACAATAACTGAAAAGAAATTCTTTGAGAAGAACAAGAAACTATTGAAGCTCTAAGAGAAGAGTAGAGCCATTGGAGCAATTGATACCAACATTGAAGGCTTTATTTTGTTGACCTAAATGAAATTATGTTGCCTTGAATAAAATACAAAGTCTTTGTATAGAGATGACATAATTCCTAATTCTTTCATTTGATATTATAAACAAAGTTTGGTTTGAACCTAATAAATGAATTCTTATCACTATTAGTGATAAGTAAGTCATCCACATATAAGAGGATAATAATAAATATGATTATTTTTCTTAAAAAATAGATTTTTAGATTTAATAAATTATATAGCTAAGTTGTAGAGAAAAAATAATGATTGATTTTTTTATACTTATTATGGATAAAAATATTTATTTATATCAAAAAAATTAAAGAAAAATAAATATAGATAAATAAATTTGATAAAATCTTATGGAAATACATCTTAGAGGCTTTATAGATGCAAATTTGAATTTTGATGTGTTTATAGGTAATAAGTAGATTAAAAACTAAGCCGTTAAATTGACAATATATTACAAATATTATTGATATGTGATATAAATTGTCTATATGGTGTACATGTAGAAAACTTATCTTGTAAGTTAGATATAAGTCTTATAAGTTGAACACACATTAGAGGTTCTATAAAATATTACCATGTAGCTCCTAATAAGATAGTACATATAGGCATAATAATAATGCCTTTTTTAGTCTTATCAATGTGTTTCTTATTTTTAGTCTTTTTTCAAGAATTTCTAGTCTTCTTGTCTTTAAAAATAGATATTATAATCTTAATATTATACTATCTTTTAATGATTATCTACTTTATTTTTGTAACAAAAGAGTATATTGATATTTTTATTATTTGTGATTCATTATCAAGGACATAAATTTCAAAAAATTAAAAGATCAATATACTCTTGTGTCACTCAAAAAGACTAGAGAATCACTCAAAGATGGTATAATTTTAAACTAAAATGGCCATTGCCAAAGACAAAAAAACTAAAAAATCTTGAAACAAGATTAAAGACTAAAAAATATATTACTCTTATGTCCATCTATACTATTAAACTAAAAGTTATATATCAACATTCCATAGAACCTCCAATATGTGTCTATTTTATAAGATACATATCTTAACTTATAAGGCAAGGTTTCTATATGCATGCCACATTGTTAGCTTGTACCACAAGCTATCTATAAGTCCGACACATGGCTTAACTTACAAGGCAAGTTTTATATATGCATGATACATCATTAGCTAGTACCACAAGCTATTTACAAGTATGATACATGACTAACTTGTTGACAAAGTTTTTAATCTATCAATCAAATATAAATATATATAAAGTCAAATACATGTCTATAAAGCTTGTAAGAAGCTACACCACAAGATAATATCAAATCCACCTACATTTATCTTCTATTTAATACTTTTTATTTAGATAAATATGTATATCTGTAACATTACCTCCTCTTTTAGAGATGAGTTCCATATGAAGTAGTCATCATATGTTAAAGAAGTCTAAGATGTGGTAAATTATATTTGTCACATATTTTGAACTTTGTTCTCTTTGAAGGTGGTTGATATGTCCTTTCAGCTATCAATAATGTTTTGTTTTATGGCAAAAAGACCATTTTTTTATTTGATTATTATTGAGGCCTTTATAACTTCTTTTAAATAAAACATTTATAAGACCATTAGAAGTTGTTTCTACTTTTAATAAAATCACAAAACATGAAGAATCTCTTCCAAAGTTGTGATAATAAATACATTTTACTTTATCATCTATTTGAGAAAGAGCTTGTTTTTTTGAAGAGCTTCATCTCTATTATGTCGTCTTGAAGGCTATGACAATTATAATATCTTATCTAATAAGTTAGTAAATAATAGTTCTTGAATTGAATCTAGTAATTATTG